GTCTCGAACCCGCGGGCTCAGGCAATTCACTCACCTCGGCCTCCCAAAGCGCAGGATTACAGGTTGAGCCACCAAGCCCGGCTTAGGCTGGTCTTTAACCTATGAGCTCAGACAATCCTCTCACCTTGACCTCCCAAAGTGCTAGGATTATAGGTGTGAGCCACCGGGTCTGGCCTTATTTTTTATTTTTTTGACTCGAAGTCTCACTCTGTTGTCCAGGCTGCAGGGCAAAGGCACAATCACAGTTCACTGCAGCCTCAACCTGCTGGGCTCAGGCAATCCTCCAGCCTCAGCCTCCCAAATAGCTGGAACTACAGGCATGTGCCACCATGCATGGCTAATTTTTTGATTTATTGTAGAGATGATGTCTCGCCAAGTTGCCCGGGGTGGTCTCGAACCTATAGGCTCAGGCAATCCACCCGCCCCGACCTCCCAAAGTGCTGGGATGACAGGTGGAGCACTGAGCCCCACATCTGATATCTGACCGTCCATCGTGGGGCTCAAATCTGGGCAGACTCTGAAGAGGTGGGCGAACCCAAATGCTAACACGAGAATGCCACTGGGCCGAATCAGTCAAGAAAAATCAAATTGTTGGTTTTCTTATTGTTGTGAAAACTTTAAATTACTAACGTTTGATGTATATCCTTTGAAAATATGCCAGGCTCGGTGGCTCAGCCTGTATTCCGGGAGGCTGAGATGAGTGGATTGCCTGAGCCCATGGGTTCGAGACCCACCTGGGCAACTTGGCGAGACCTCATCTCTACAATAAACAAAAAAATGAGCCGGGCGTGGTAGCACATGCCTGTAATTCTGGCTACTTGGAAGGCTGAGGCGGAAGGATCACTGGAGCCCAGCAGGTCGAGGCTGCGGTGGCCGGTAGCGGCCATTGCACTCCAGTCTGGGCGACAGAGTGAGACTCCAACTCAAAAAAAAATACACGGTACCTATGTTCGTTCACACAAGCAAAACCCGCATCTGAATGTCTTTCATCCTACAAGCTAGATAAACTGAGGCTAATCACTTAAGGAACAGTGCCCTTTGCTTGGGCATCCCATTGTTTTCAGGGTTAATGCAATACTTCTTCATCGGTTCAGAAAGTTCAACAGTCTTTATGAGATGGGAAATAACTAAGCACACTCCAAATATATCATGTTTTTCATCAACCTCAAATAAAAATACAAAGTAAGAAATGTGGCCAGGCGCGATGGATGGCTCAAGCCTGTAATCCCAGCACTCTGGGGGGCCAGGGCGAGAGGACTGCCTGAGCCCGCGGGTTTGAGACCAGCCTGGGCAATGTGGTGAGACCTTGTCTCTACAATAAATCAAAAAAATTTAGCCAGGCGTGGTAGTGCGTGCCTGTAGTTATGGCTACTTGGAAGGCTGAGGTGAAAGGATCTCCGGAAGCCCAGCAGGTCGACGCTAGGGTGGCCATGAGCATGCCACTGCACTCCAGACTGGGCGACAGAGTGAGACTAACTCAAAAAAAAAAAAAAAAAATCAAATTGCTAGCAAAATAATACTATCAACGAGCTTATTCCATTTTGTTTAAAGCTTCCATCTCAGTTGCCTGCCTGACCTAAGAACCACTCCTCAGTGCCTATGTGGGATTACTGTCACGTCCCCACGACCACAGACCCCAGCTTTGTCCCCTTTGGGCAGGCCGTGAGAACCGTTTCCTGCTGGCTGATACAAAAGTCCTTCCCATAAGTCCCATGTAATGGTATGCTTTGTTATCTGAAATCAAATGTTACGCTTTGCAAAACCCCATGGTTACATTTTCATATTTTGTTCCTATATTTTGTTAGTGACCTGACCAAGGTCACTCGGTTGTATAATGATTCTTCTACCTTGTCTCTATGTCAGTGCCTTAAACTATATCTTGTTGAAAGAACTCCAGGAACTTTCTGGGCACCGGCTATATCTAGGACCTGAAATTAATCAAAAGTTCCCAATTTGGTTGCCAAGTTGTTACTTAATGGTTGCTATGGTTGCTAAGTTGCTATGTAGCCAGCGCTGCCAATTTTACCTATAAAAGCTTGTCACAAACTGCGCTAGTTTGTCAAGGGTTTTTCCTGGCATATGCCTGCTCTTGACCCATACGTTAATTTAAAAAAAAAAAAAAACCTCATAATTAATTAGACTCAGCTTGCTGGCATGACTTCTTCTCACTTAGTCATAACGCTGTCACGGCCGATAGAACCCCTGGTGCCGCACCCTGAGGTCCCGAGGCCCGGGTTTCTCCATCTGGCCGAACCTGACCCTACGGGAGTGAGGATTTGTGAGTCAGTGTCCTCTGTCGCCCAGACTGGAGGGCAGCGGCCGCTCCCGGCCACCGCAGCCTCGACCTGCTGGGCTCCCGCGATCCTTCCGCCTCAGCCTTCTGAGTAGCTGGAACTACAGGCGTGCACTACCACGCCCGGTTTATTTTTTTTGATTTATTGTGGAGATGAGGTCTCACCAAGTTGCCCAGGCGGGTCTCGAACCCGTGGGCTCAGGCAGTCCACTCACTTCAGCCTCCCAAAGGCACGGGATGGCAGGTCGAGCCACTGAGCCCGGCTTATTTTGTTTTTTTGAGTCAGGGTCTCACTCTGTGCTCAGGCTGGAGTTCAGCAGCACAATCTTGGCTCACCGCAGTCTCAATCTCCTGAACTCAGGCAATCCTCCTGCCTCAGCCTCCCACGCAGCTGTGTCTACAGGCACACGCCACTGCACCCGGCTAGTTTTTCGATTTTTCTTTTTTTGGAGATGAGGATCTCGCTGTGTTGCCCAGGCTGGTCTCAAACTCCTGGGTTCGAGCAATCCTCCTGCCTCGCCCTCCCAAAGTACTGGGACGACAGGCGTGAGCCACTGTACCCAGCCTATTTTATTTTTTGGAGATAGTGTCTTGTTATGTTGCTCAGGCTGGTCTCAAATGATCCTCCCACTTCTGCCTCCCAAGTAGCTGGAATGACATACACGAACCACCACACAACAATAATTATCTTCTAATGAAACTATAAAAAATATCTCACATTCACAGTTGACTAAGCCTTGCTCTGGAGTCAAGGGAGAGAGAGTACGTCCCCATCTCACAGATTGGGCAACTGAGGCTCAGAGGGTCAAGTCCGTCGTCTGAGGCTGCTTGCAAAGCCAGGACTCAACCCCAGGCTAGGGGGACGCGTCCACCTGGCGTGGGTGGCAGGGGTGGGGGGAGCGTCCGGGACCCAGCCCCTCCTCTGGGCACTGGGAAGCTCCCACTACAGGGTCAGGGGCCAGCAGCAGGGAGACTCCAGTCGCTCGACTCCCCGTAGTCCGTGAGGTCCTGAGCCGCCACCTGGATGCAGTACTGGGCTGGGGGCCGCACGGCCCTGAGGATGAAGGATGTGGCTTCCATGGGCCCCGCCTGGGAGCAGAGAGAGAGTCGGTTACCAGGAGGGACCACAGGCCGTGGACACAGCCCCACGTCCCGGCTCTGCCTCCACCCAGCCCTGCTCCGGGCCAGGACTTCAGCCTCCGCTGTCCACAGAACCGGCCTGCTGAGCCCCGCCTGGATGTCGGTGCTAATTCAACGTTAATCCTGCTTTTTTTGTTTTTGAGTGAGGGTCTCGCTCTGGTGCCCAGGCTGGAGTGCACTGGTGTGAGCATAGCTCGCCGCGGCCTCAAACGCCTGGGCCCAAGCGATCCTCCCACCTCAGCCTCCCGAGTCGTTGGGACTACACTGGGCAACGCCGCGCCTGGCTAATTTTTAATTTTTGTAGAGTCGGGGTCTCACTATGTTGTCCAGGCTGCTCTCGAACTCTTGGCCTCAAGCGAGCCTCCTGCCTCGGCCTCTCAAAGTGTGTCTTTTTGTGTCTGGGTTGTGGCTTGTGTCAGAGCCTTCTTCCTTTTTGTGGCTGAGTCATGTTGCGTGTGTGGATGGGCCACATTGTGTGTTTGTTTTGTTTTGTTTTTGCGTTGGAGTCTCACTCTGTCACCCAGGCTGGAGGGCAGTGGCCGCTCCCGGTCACCGCAGCCTCGATCTGCTGGGCTCCGGCGATCCTGCCGCCTCAGCCTTCCGAGTAGCCGGAACTACAGGTGTGCGCTACCACGCCGGACTAATTTTTCTTGATTTATTGTAGAGACGAGGTCTCGCCACGTTGCCCGGGCTGGTCTTGAACCCACGGGCTCAGGCCCTCCACTCGCCTTGGCCTCCCAAACTGCTGGGATGACAGGCTGAGCCCCTGAGCCCGACCCACGTTGTGTTCATTCATTTATTATTATTATTATTATTTGTAGAGACGGGGTCTTGCTATGTTGCCCTGACTGGTCTCCAACTCCTGGCCTCAAGCAAGCCTCCCACCCCGACCTCCCAAAGTGCTGGGATTACAGGTGTGAGCCACACACCTGGCCTTTGTTTATCAGTTTGTTGAGGGCGACGTGGGCTGTCTTCACCTTCTGGCTGCTTATAGACGTGGCTGTTTGAGTCTCTGCTTCCCATCCCGCAGGATGGATTCCCAAGTGTGGGATCACTGGGCTGTCTTCCCTTGAGTTGCAATCTCCCTCTGTGGCCCAGGCAGGAGTGCCAAGGCACGGTCACAACTCATTACAGCCTCGACCTCCTGGGCTCAGGCGATCCTTGGAACTCAGCCTCCCCAGTAGCTGGGGCTACAGGCACGCACCACCACACCTGGCCAATTGTTTCGGTTTTTGTAAAGACAAACTCTCGCTGTGTTGCCCAGGCTGGTCTCAAACCCCTGGGCTCAAGCGATCCTCCTGCCTCAGCCTCTCAAAGTGCTGAGATCACTGGTGTGAGTCACTGTGCCTGGCCAAGGCCATAAAATACTTTGAGATTTGCTTCTTTATTTATGTGATTTTTTTCTCCCCTATATATTATTTTATTTATTTATTTTGAGTCGGAGTCTCACTCCGTCGCCCAGGCTGGAGGGCAGGGGCACGCTCACGGCCACCGCAGCCTCGACCTGCTGGGGACTCCGGTGATCCGTCTCAGCCTTCCAAGTAGCTGGAACTACAGGCGCGTACTACCACGCCAGGCTAATTTTTTGATTTTATTGTAGAGATGAGGTCTCGCCTGCCCAGGCGGGTCTCAAACCTGCGGGCTCAGGCAATCCACTCACCTCAGCCTCCCAAAGGCGCGGGATTACAGGCTGAGCCACCGAGCCCGCCTTTTTTTTTTACTGTACAGACAAGGTCTTGCCAAGTTGCCCAGCCTGGTCTTGAACCCACGGGCTCAGGCCACCCACTCGCCCCGGCCTCCCAAAGTGCTGGGATGACAGGCTGAGCCACCAAGCCCGGCCTTTATTTACATTTTTATAGAGGTGGGGTCTCACTGTGTTGCCCAGGCTGTTCTTGAACTCCTGGGCTCAAGGGGTCCTCCCGCTTGGCTTCCCCAAGTGCTGGGATGACAGGTGTGAGCCACTGTGCCCAGCGTGGGCCCATCTTTATTTTACACACTGGGAATTCCAAGCTTTGTGGACACGCCTGCTGGCCGGGGTCCAGCCGTCCCCTCGAGCAGACCAGGCCCCACCTCCCGGGTGCCCGCGCCCTCCTCACCTGGCGGAAACGGGCAGCTCCTTGGCGCTTGTAGCGAACCCGGTACTTGAGTGCGAAGATCTCTGGGAAGGGCCAGGACCGGGGTGGCTCCCAGCGGACCCGGAGTCGCTGCCCAGGGAGGGGGCTCAGCTGCACGCGCTCTGGAGGGTCAGGCTTGACTGCCGGACAAGCAGAAGGCGGGGTCAGGGCATGGCAGTTTCACACAGGTATTCATTCATTCACCCTACAGTAATTTTTGTTTTAATTTTATTTTTTTAAATTTCTTTTTGAGTTGGAGTCTCACTCCGTCGCCCAGATTGGAGGGCAGTGGCCGCTCCCGGCCACCGCAGCCTCGACCTGCTGGGCT